GTATTCTGTTCCTATTTTTGATTAATCTTAGGGGAAAAATTAATACTTTTAATACATGTCACATTTTATTTGATTCCATTTCAGATTTGAGTGTGGTTGTGTGAGTGAATGAGAGTGAGAGAGAAAGGGATGTAGTGGAGAGTTTCATACAGGGTTCATAGTATTGTCTGCACTTTGACTCCACTGCTTTGTCTGCGATAGGCCCGTGCTGTGAAGGGCAGCTCCCTCCTCCAATCACAGTCCAGCACGGAGTTAGATGTGAAGGAAGAGACCGCCTCCCCCCTCACGCCCTCTACCTCTAGTGACATCACGGTGAAGGCGGAGCCAGAGCCCAGCCCGGCCACGCCCACATCCACAGGTAGAAGCAATTCGTGATTTGGTGTCTTGTAACCTGACCGTTTTTTACTGTTCAGGGCCCAGATTATTAATTTAATAATATAGTAACAAACTAACAGAGTTGAACAAGAGTTGCATAACAGAGATTCACTACAAAGGGTTGTGGCAACGGCACAGAGGGTTATAGGACGTGATTTACCATCAATCGGCGAGATTCACACCCTCCGCTGTCGCAATAAAGCCCAATCCATCATTCAGGATCCCAGCCATCCCAGACACAAACTGTTCTCCCCCCTGCACTCTGGCAAGCGGTACCACATTAATAAAGCTCTGTCCACTAGACTGAAGAACAGCTCCTACCCTACTGCAGTGCACATCCTCAGCAGCTGACTGTGCAGTGCCTCAGACTCAACACACATCTGCACAGTGCAGTTTTTGCATGATCTCCCATGTTTTTATCTACCACATATGTATAGTTCCTGTTATTATTCATGTTTGTAATGTACCGTCTACTTTGTGTGGTTCTGTCTGTTGTACTGTGTTTGCCCCGCGAGATCAGCGCGATTAAGAATCCCAGGTGGCCTGTGGAGTCCCCGGGTCTGTCCTGCGTTAACCCATAACCCCTCCTGTCTGTCTCCCTGGTTCCAGGTCCTGTGATGAAGGCCGAGCCGGGGGCGGACAGTGAGGGAGGCTCCAGGGAGGAGGAGAAGGACAGGGACAGGGAGAAGGCGGCGATGTCCCGGGCAGGGGGCGGGGCTGTGAAGGAGGAGCGCGAGAGGGCAGGCTCCAGCAGCCAATCGGAGGACACGGGGCCTGAGCGCTGCGCCGTGATTGGAGGAGTCAAGAGGAAGGAGGTGGAGCAGCTGAAGATCGTGAGGGCGGAGCTGAAGTGAGTGTTATCGGCGTATGAGAGGAGTCCATCGAGATCAACTGCGTGTGTGAATGCTGTACTCTTCCTCTGTTTGTGTGTCGGAGAGAAAGTAGCTGACCTGTTGCTCTGCTCTCAGGGGGAGAGAGAATGCGAGTGTGTCACTGCGTTATCTTGGGAGAGCCCATGTGCTCCTGTGCTACAGTGCAGGCAGGACAGATACACCGGAGACGTGACGCATGGAGACAGACCCACACAGCGAGGGGAACTGTGCGTGTGCGTGCCTGTGTGCGCTCAGCTCTGTGTGCGTTTTTCCAGGAAGGCGCAGGAATCCCAAAGGGAGATGAAGCTGCTGCTGGACATGTACCGCTCTGCCCCCAAAGAGCAGAGAGATAAGGTGCAGCTCATGGCTGCAGAGCGCAAGGCCAAGTCAGAGGTCAGTACATTTACACTGTCTAGACAC